TGGTTAAAGAAACCATTTCAAGCAATTTAGACAACTCTTTGTAAGGTAATATAACTAATTGACACCCACAGGGCATCCTCAAATTCAGTTTAGGGCACTAGTTTTAACTTTCTTGCTTTAATTATCCTATCTATGCAGATGATTCCTAGATCAATAAATATATCTAGCCTTAATTTTTTTCCAGAGCTACAGTCATGCATCACCAGCTGTCTTTTGGTCATCTCAAACTGGTCCAGTTTGAGATCTCAAACACATCGTGTCCAGAATTGAACTCATTATCCTTCTTCCAAAACTCACCCCTCTTCCTAACTTCCCTATGACCAAGCTCTCAGTAACCCAAGGTCACAACCTCTGTGTCATCCTCAACTCCTCACTCTCACCCACCCTCATTCACAATCTAGGGTCAAAGCTTATTGTTTCTATCATCACCGTGTCTCTTATACATGTCCCATTATCTACACTCACGCAACCACACCCTAGTTCAGGTCCTCATCACCTCTCACCTGGACTATTTCATTAGCCTTCTAACTCATCTACCTGCTACAAGTCAATCCATTCTTCATTTAACTATCAAAGTGTTATTTTTTCTCTTTCCTTTTCCCTTTTTGTTCTGAATTTAAATCATAAAAAGAAAATTTACACACACACAGCAGAACAGAAAAAAAGATTATTTATGAAACTATGAATCTCTAATACTGTTTACTTTTTTAAAAGTACATAATAAATTCCTCAGGTTATTTTCAAAACTGCTCTGATAGTCTGTGCTTCCTTTTTAACTTTCTCCTCTTCCATGCATTTTCCAAAATATTCCAATGGCCCTAATTTTTGGCATCACTATCAATTGCTGAGTCCTCTTCTCTATCCCACCCCGCCCCCCACAAAGAAAAATAAAAAGGAGGAAAATAAAACTTGTGACAAATAAGCAGTCAAGCAAAATAAATCCACACAGAAGCCATGTCCAAAAGTCTAAATTTCTTTCTGTACCTTGAATAAGTCACCTAAGGGTCAGAAGGTAGAAAAGATGCTTCATTATACGTCTTCTAGAGACATGTTGATCAGACTCCTTTAGTCTTTCAAGGTTTTGTCTTTACAATGTCCCTGTATAAATTGCTCTCCTGGTTCTGCTATATTCCCTCTGTATCAGTTTATACCATCCAGGATACCCTGAAATTGTCTTTTGTCATCTTTATGGTGCATTATCCCATTACCTTTATATACTACAATTTGTTCAACCATTCCCCAAAGGATGGGCAACCCCTTAGGTTCCAGTTCTTATTTTTTTTTCCTTTTTCTTTTATTCCTTTTAACCTCTCCCACTTTCCCTTCAGGGCCAAGAAGTTTGTTTTGTTTCTAACTATTCCCTCTCTGTTATCATCCTTCCTCTTAACTCCCCATCCCTGTATCCATACTTGTTTCCTGGTTAAGTTCGATGTTTTTCTACACCAAAGGGTACATGTGCATTCAAGTCTCCTTTGTCCATTTCAGATAAGAGTGAGACCACGTGATCCTGCTCTTCCCGTCTCTTCATGCTTTTGTTCTCTCCTTCTCATGTACCTCAAGTATGAGAAACAGCAAGTCCCACCCTCTTGTTTCCTCCTTTTCTGCTCTAATATATTCCTTTCACCCTGCCTCCTTCTTCCCCCTTCAAACTCTCAGAACAGAACCAATCCACCCTTAGACCTCTGGTTTGCTTATTTAACTTCCTCAAAACCCTTTGAAGACATCAAAGTTCTCAAAGGACACTTGTTTCTTTTCCCCCTATATTACCACTACATCATCATACAGCCCCTTCCAATTGCTCAAATAAATTTACTTTTCTAGATTTTTCTGGACTCTTGTGTTTGCACTTCAATATTCCTATTCAGCTCTGATCCTTTCATCTGAAATACTTAAAAGTGCTGTATTCCACTAAGAATTTTTTTTCCCCCAATAGAATTATACTCAGCTCATCTGGGTAAGTTATCCTTGGTTATAAACTTCTCTCTTTTGCCTTTTCGAAATATTGTATTCCAAGATCTCTCCTTTATGTCAGGAGCTGCCATGTCTTGTGTAATCCTTAGTGTGGTCTCTTAGTACTTGAACTGCATTTTTTTCTGACTATTTGCAATGCTTTTTTTTTTTCCTTTGATGTGGCTCCCCTGGATTTTGGTTATGATATTACTGGGACTTTTCCTTTTGAGGTTTCTTTTAGGAGGTGATCAGTCAATTCATACTTTACTTTCCAATTCTAATAAATTTGGACAGTTTTTATTTACAGTTTCTTGAAATATCAAGTCTAGTGGTCTTATTTTTGATTTTTTTTAATCATCATTTTCAGGAACATCAGTGATTCTTTTTTTTTTTTAAGTGAGGCAATCGGGGTTAAGTGATTTGCCCAAGGTCACATGGCTAGTATGTGTCAAGTGTTTGGTCTGAGGCCAGATTTGAACTCAGGTCCTCTTGACTTCAGGGCCGGTGCTCTATCCACTGCACCACCTAGCCGCCCCAACTTCAGTGATTTTTAAATTATTTCTCTTTGACCTGTTTTCCAAGTCAGAGGGGAAGGGATGAGAAGGAACATTTATAAAACTCCCATTATGTGTCTACTAAAAGCACTATTCACTTTACAAATATTACTTCATTCGATTCTCATGACAACCCTGTGAAATAGATGTTGTTGCTATGCCCATATTACAGTTGAGGAAATTGAGGCAGAAAGAGGTTAAGTGATTTGTCCAGGATTACACAGTTAATAAGCGTCTGAGGCTTCATTTGAACTCAGGCCTTCCTGACTCCAGGCCCAGAATTCTATCTACTGTACCACCTAGTTGTCACATATTTTGTCTGTTTTTAAATTTCAGATTTCTCATGTTTTCTTCTACTTTTTTTTTCTGTCTTTCAACTTTATTCCAAATCTATTCCAGATTCCAGGAAATCAGTTACTTGGGTAAAGTTTACCACTTTTTCTTTTAGGATATTTATTCTCCCAATTCTTTCCCCTACAGTTTTTATTTCATTTTTAAACTGTAACTTCATTTCTTCTAGGCATTCATTTAGTCCTTTTGGAAAAAAAAAACATTTTTTTCCCTTTGAGTTTCAGCTTGTAGTTGCTGTGGAATTACTTCATTTGGGGGGATCTCTAGATCTACAATAATTTTTTTATACTGGTCTATGTCTTCTTTGGTTTACTCATCTCTTTAACTTTAGTTTCTGAATTAGGTCTTTAGGCCAGCACCAGGCTTCCCCATTTTCTTTAGGAGGTCTTTCCCAGTCTACCCAGCTACTAATGCCTTCCCCTCTCAGATTACCTACTCTGTGTATATCCATAATATATCTAGTTATTTACATGTCACCTTTCCTATTAGAATGTAATCCCCTTGAGGACAAGGACTGTTTTTGTTCCCCAGAATTCTATCTTGGGCTTTTTCTTTTCTCTCTATATCCTCTCCCTTGGGGATTTCAAACATTATCTTGGATTCAACCATCCCCTTTATGCAGAAGATTCCTCAGATTTGTGGCTCCAGACACAACCTTTGACCTGAACTTCAGTTTCCTATTTATAATAATCTACTGAATCATTTCCACATGGCTGTGCTGCTAGCATCTCAAACTCAGTACACCCAGAACCAAAAAGGTGGTCATCTTTCATCTATAGCTCTATGGTTTCCCTGCTAATGTTACTGGTTATAAATAACAAGTGTATACATGTGCATACAATAACTCATGTATGGTTTTGTTATTTGTGTGGGTACATGTAATGTCTCGTGTGTGTTATTTATTGTTATACATGTGTTTGTGTGAACATATGTATATACACACATGTGTGTGCACACATACATGCATATGTAAGTACACATTCCCCAAAGCTTTAGTTACTTAAAATTATACTTTTAGAAGACTGTGTCTATGCATGTGTGTATATACATACACAAACATATATAATACATACATGTATGTGTTTATGTGTGTATATACTAATACAGGTGTCCCTCCCAACTTCTCTGTTGATGTAAGAATAATAATAAAATGTTTCCCTTATGTGGAAAACAAAAAGTACAGAAATATAAGATGTTTCCATTGGAAGATGTCAAAGCAGCAAGATAATTAGGTCACAAAATGAGTGACTTTTGAGGAAAATTGAGATTTTCTTTTCCAGTATGGAAAGGAGGGCATTTATAGTAGTCATCCAAATATAGGTGACCCTCCCCCCTTCCAAAATAAGTGAGAGCCCTCAGAAAGTGAAAAAAAGCATAGTTATGCATATATGTACATATACCCATATGTATATATATACATGTGTGTGAACACACATATAGACACAGAGAGAAAGATATTCCTTTTAAGGATTATAAAGCATTCCCCCTACAGCTCTGTGCAATAGTTATACAAGTATTATTATCTCCATTTTACAAATGAGAACATTGAATTGCCCACGGTCACTCAGCCCTAGCCCTTGATACTTCCAAGGAAACATTGTTCATCTCTAAAGAACTTGTTGCTTTGGTATGTCACAGAGAACTCTGGGTGGTCCCTGGGTTCTCCTTCTCCTCCTCCCTTCCTCCACTCCTTCCCATATCAAGAGCAAGAAGGCAGGATACAATATCAGTCAAAAAGAAGACACAACTTCTTTCCTTCTCTCTCTCTCTCTCTCTCTCTCTCTCTCTCTCTCTCTCTCTCTCTTCCACTGACCCTCCAGATGGAATTGCACAGTTCTGGGACTTCCTGTGAGGAAGCCAGACCTATCCCCTACCCCAGCTACCATGGAGTCATTTGTACATCAGTAACTACAGACTACTTCCTGCCTAGTCAAGCATGATCCTGGGTTTTGGACTTTCTCAGTGTGAGTGTAAAGGATTTAGCTCTTGGAAACCCAAGCCCTGATTTAATTTTTAAAATGTGTTTATCCTTCTATAATGGTCACCATTGATATGAAATGCTGGAGTAGTTGTTAGGGACTCCTTCCCCTGCCCCCACTCAGCTCTAGACAAAGGACCCAGAACCTCTGAACCCCTCAAACTCACAATTCAGCCTCCGAGTCTGGACGTGTGCATCTCTGGGGTGATGATATTTACCTAAAATCAGAAAATAACAAACATAGAAGAGCAACTCCAGACCCAGGATGATTCGGCTTGACTTAGCAAGACATAGGCTTTGGCTGCCATGTCCTCCTGGTTGCATGATGGCCAAAGGCAGGAAGAGAGAGCTACCCTTCCCTTTACCCCTCGCAGGAAATAGAGCTACATGATGCCACCTGGAGGGTCTAAGGAAGAGAAACAGTTGGAAGCATTCTCTTCTTTTTAATTGACACAGCACTCTGTTCTTCCCCTCTCCCCCCACCCCCACCCTTGTCAAAAGATGGAAAGAGGACCAAGGGACCACCCATAATTTACTGCGCCATATCAGACAAATCTTTCAGAGGTTAGCACATTTTTTCCCCAAGAAGTGGCCAGGGCAATTCGTCACATAAGCCTCGGGATGGTCCCAATAGGCTCGTTGTAGACAAGCTCCCTGGGGATGTGCTACAATTCATCCTCTGCTATATTAATTATCCTCAACTTATACCTATGCAAATGAACTGCTACGTAGAAGCAGCATCGGATTCCAGATGCCAGATTCGAGGCTGCATTCCCCTTAGTCTGTGACATACTTTATCTCTCTAGACTCCATCCTTTTCACTTCCTGTTCAAACTCCCTGCCCTATGCCTGGACTTGTAGCCTGGCTTTAGCTCTGTTTTATTCTCCCACTCCTCCCTCCCTGCATTCTTTCCCACTGCCCCTTCGGCCTGGAAGCATCTCCTCCTTCCAATCTCCCAAACCCACACATTTGCTTTCTTAAATGTCTCCTCAAAATCCTATGCTTCTGTAAATCTACTAGAAATTATATTCCACAATGAAACGCAGACATAGAAACACATACACACTTTACTAATCCCTGAAAAATGGAAAAAAAAAAAAAAAGTTTAACAGACTAACAGTAAGTAATAGTAAGTGAAAATAGAAAATGAAAAAAAATTACAGAGGAAGGGATTGGGGGAATTCTTCATGAAGTCAATTTAAAGAGGGGAAGGGGGCATCTAAAACTTCATTTCCTTTCAATTCTGTCAGTTTATAAGTCCACTGGGCAAACATTATATTTACTTCTCCATCTCACAGTGTACAGAGCATTCTATCAATGCCTAATAAATAACACATAGGACAATCGTGGCAAATAACTTTGCTTTTATGCATGTTCTTTAGCAAATACCACAGAATAATAGATAACAAGCATGTGATCACTCTTCATTGTCTTAAAAAATGTTTACTTTGCAATGGCCTAGGTAGTCTGTTTAATGTATCCCATGCTGAGGATAAGGAAAGTCATTGCATTTGCTATTTTCCCAGTTGTCGTTAAATAGAGAGAGGATGTAATGTGGTGTAATGAATAGTGCACTGGGCCTAGGGCTTTCAGGAAGACCTGGGTTCAAATTATACTTCTGATTTCTTTTTGGAGGAGCAACAATCCCTCAAGATTAAATTATTGCTTCGTATGGATTGCTATGATTCTGTAACTAGGACGGGAGATATTGAATGATATGGCACTTGAGCGATAACTAAGATGATGTTTAAAGAAAGCACCTCCAGAATAATGTTAATGTAGGTACTGCAGCTGTAATTTCATTGCTGGATGAGAAAATGCCCTCCACTAATGCAGGTGTGCCCCTCCCCTGTGACTTCTCTGTTAATAGAAGAAGAAACTGTTTCATTTGTATGGAAAACATAAGATGTACAGAAACAAAAGATGTTTTCATTGGAAGATGTCAAAGCATTTTATGAATACTAGTCAATGTTCTGGGGCAGGGTAATCAGGTCACAAAATGAGTGACTTTTAAAGAAAGTGGAGATTTTTTTTCCAGTGTGGAAAGAGGGCATTTACAATAGTTATCCAAATATAGACAACCTCTCTCCCAATAAATGAGAGCCCTTAAAAAGTGAAAGGGCATAAAGTTATGTACAGAAAAAATTGCATCATTTAAAGATCTCACTGATATTTTAATCACACCAGGTTTGGAAGCAAAAAGATAGCCTATATTCAGGTCAATGTGTCGGGCACATCACTTCGGCATAATGGATAGAGTGCTGGAATTGAAGTCAGAAAGACCTGGGTTCAAAGCTCTGCTTTGGCTTATACTGTATGATCATGGGCGAGTGATGTAACCTCTCTGTTTTCCCCTCTGTAAAATGGGTATAATAAGCACCTACCTCTAGGAGTTGTTATGAAACAATGACTATAATGAATGGAAAGCACTTTAGAAGCTTGAAAGAGATATTTAATTTTCAGTTTTTATTTTTAATTATTATTTGTTCACAAATTTGTCAAGTCCCATACTTATCCTTCCATTTCTCTGGTTAGTGTTGTTAGGCTTCTATCAAAAAGAGAAAATCATCCTCTATGTGGGGAGGGGGAGGGGGGGGGCCTGGTTTCATTCCTGGTTCACCACTACTTTACTATGGAAAGTTTTTGAAAAACTTATTTCTCCATTTGCTTACATCAAGGATTTTTGGGTATATAGGTTTGCTTGCTCACTCCCCTGACATTTCATTTAGAGCCATGCGCCAACTCCTCTTGAAGTCCCAGAAGAAAGAGAGGTGATCTGAGCTAAATAGCAAGAGGAATGACCTCTGACCATCACTGAGAAATGAGTATAACCATTCTCTTTTCCTGGTATTCACAGAGGCATAGACAGAAAAAGAACAGGAAAATACACAGAGAAGTTCCTCAGTCCTTTTCTCCTAGGAAGTTAGAAAAGTCGTTGTCTGTTGAGTTTGAAGGACAGAATTAAATTAATTCTCAAATATTTGTAAAGCATTAAGTACAGTGTCTAGCCCATAGTAGGCACTTCATTGCTTGTTGTCATCCATTCCCCAATTCTATCAGAGGAAAATAGATTGAGCTTAACTCCTTGGATCTCAGAGATTTTTCCCCCATCCAAGTTGTGACTCCACACAGAGGTGTTCCATTTCTATAAGCATCCCTGACATTTTCAAAGTCACTTTTTGTAATTTTAAAATAATCAACTTAATTCTATCTAGTCAATGTTTGAAATCTCACTTAATGGCCATTTAAAGTCAGCATGCATGGTGGCCTTGGAGTTGGAAGAAACCTGGGTTTGAATCCCATCTCCGACACTCATTGTATGACCATGTACAAGTCACTTAATCTCAGCCTCAGTTTCTTCATCTTTAAAATGGAGATTATGAGATTTAAATGAGATAATGGATGTAAAGTGTTTTCAATGTCTTAAAGTGTTACATTGTTTTTCAGTCTGGTCTAACTCTCTATGTGACCCCCAAGGCCAGTCCATGGAGTTTTGTTGGCAAAGATACTAGAGTTCTTTGCCATTTCCTTCTCCAATGTGTCCCCATTTTGCAGATGAAGAACTGAGGCAAATAGGTGTTAAATGACCTGCCCAGGGTAACACAGCTAATAAGTGTCCAAGGCTAAATTTGAACTCAGATCTTCCTGACTTTAGGACTGACACTCCATCCACTGTACCACCTAAAGTATTATATGGAAATTAATTATTCTTTTCTCATAATAAAGAAACTTGCAGCCTTGTAAATTAAAATTTAATAGTAGATCTAGAAGAGAACTCTTGGCTTTGTCAAATGACCCATTTGATACATGTAGAAACCAAGGCCTGGAGGGTAAAGCCACTTGCCTAAAGCTACTGTCAACATGGCCCCCTTCAAATCATTTAACCTCTCCATTTCCCAAGGAACTGTGTTCTAAGACAATATACTAAAGAATAGTGCCCCAAGGTCAGACAGCTACTTCATAACAGAACAGAACCTACAGCCCATGTCTTCTGACTCTTAAACTCAGGTTTCTTTTGACAATGCCTCACCCTTGACAAGTTGGGCTTTGTTTTTAAATTTAATTTAAAATGCAAAACAAGTTTTACAGATCAAATTTCAAGTCACGGGAGTCAACTGTTGTTTTTTTTTTTTTTTAACTCAAACACAACAGGCATAATTTGCCCCTGGATGGCACCCGTCTCCCTCTGCCCTTCACAGGAGAACTCCGAGTGTCTGGGCCCTGCCAGCCCTGCCAAGGCCCTCTGCCTCCCCCATCCCCCAGGCCTGTAGCCTGAACAGCCTGTTGCTATCCATCCCTTTCTGTGGTTTGGACAGCTGGGCTACACTTAGTTACGACATGTGGGAGTTTCCTGGTTCTCTTGGGTTTGTGAAAAGGAAAGAGACAGTTTGGTGCGTCTAATCTTGGTCTGCAGGAGCGGCACTGATCTCGGCCTCCCCCCAACACCTGTGGCAAAGAGGAGAGGAAAGGGGGAAGATAAACTGCACAAAGGGGCCTGTGTGTAGTTTCGGGGTGGTATGGTCCAACAGCTAAGATAGGGTGGGGGAGGGGAGGAGCCAAGAGACAAAGGCAGCCCCGGAGGAAAGGAAAGGACAGAGTCAAAAGAAGCTTCCTTGCTGCCTCCTGTCCCTGTGAATGTAAAGAACATTTTGGTTCTTTTAATATGATGGGCAGCTGTGGTAAAGAGAAGTATCATAGGATTTTAGAAGGGGCAGGAAACTTAGAGGCTATCGAGTAAAGCCTCTCATTTTACAGATGAGGAAGCTGAGGCCCTGATAGGTGAAGCGATTTGCTACAGAGGGAATAAAAGTGACCGAGGCAAAATTCAAACCGAGGTCTTCTGATTCCAAATCCAAGACCCTTGACCTCACACCTCATTAGAGGGCGTCAGCTGAGGGTAAACTGTGTCCTAGAATACCTGGGTTCTTGCCCCCAGCTCCCTTCATTCTGCAACGTTCTGTGCCTCGGTGTATCTGCCTGTACTTGCCATTCCAGGTGGAAGGAGCGTTGAAAAGCTAGACAAAATGGTGTCAGCAAATCTGCAGAAAATGTTAGGATGAAGGGCCATAAAGAAGAGCAAAGCGTGATCATAGGTGAATTATTTTGGACTATAAACCAGAACTAAGATCCTCACCCTCTGTTTCAAAGTGGTTTGGGGTTTTTTTGTTTGGGTTTGGTTCAGCTTTTTAGACAGGCTCCTCTAAGTCACTGCCTGCCCATCACCTCCCACTCTCCAGCTCATCCCCTTTGCTTCTCTCAGGCAAATTAACTCAACACCCCTTTCAATCTAATAATCATCCCACTCCCTCCTTTCAGTCTTCTCCCGAGCCACACCCGAGACCTGGAATGCCTTTCCAACCCCTAGCCTACAAAGCTCTCTCTCTCTCTGTCTCTCTCTATCTCTGTCTGTCTGTCTGTCTGTCTCTCTCTCTCTCTCTCTCTCTCTCTCTCTCTCTCTCTCTTTCTCTCTGCCTTCCACCAAACACCTGCTATCCCACCTCCTCCAGGGGAACCTGTCTCACAATTTTCCATTCACCACCCCCACTCAAAGCACTCACCCTTTGCCAGCACATGATGTGAACACTTGATTCATGATGTTTGTTCTCTGTTTCCTCATTTGTCAGCATCTCTTTCTCTGTTGCTGTTGCCTTTCATAGGACCCCAGGATTTAGATCTGAAGAAAGGTGTAGTGAGCATCTAGTTTGGTCAGGCAGCAAGAACTTATTAAGCACTTACTGTATGCCAGGCAATATACTAAGTGCTGGGGATATAAAGAAAGCTGAAAACAGGTTCTGTCCTCAGGGAACTCACATTCTAATTTAGATTTAGTCTAATTTAGATGAACCCATTCATTTTACAGAGCAGAAAACCGGGGATCAGAAAGGCAAAGTGACTTTTGTCCAAGGTCATGAAACTGATGAAGCAGAGAGAGGTGCCATTTAAACACAAGTCTTCTGACTCCAGGACACTTTCCATGGAGAAACCACATATCCTAGTGGGTAGAGTGCTGGACTTACAGCCAGGGGTGAAATCAGAGATATAGAACTGGAAGGTGTCTCAGAGGCCCTCTGGTTTTACCAATGAAGAAACTGAGGCCCAGAGAGGTTAATGATTTTCCCAAGGCACCTGGAGTGAATGACAGGAGAAGGTTTAAACCAAAGCCCTCTGATTCTAGGCAGCTAAGTGGTGCAGTGGATATAGAGCATGGGGCCTGGAATCAGGAAGACTCATTTTCATGAGTTCAAATCTGATATCAGACACTTATAAGCTGAGTGACCCTGGGCAAGTCACTTAACTCAGTTTGTCTTGGTTCCTCATTTGTAAAATGAGCTGGAAATAGCAAATCACTCCAATATCTTTGCCAAGAGAACCCCAGATGGGGTCACAGAAAGTTAAACACAACTGAAACAACTCTATAACAATAACCTCTGATTTTACATGTAGTACTCTTTTGACTGCCTCTCCATTTAAGGGAACCTGAGTTCAAATCCAGCCTCAGACACTTGGACAAGTTAGAAGAGGTCACTACGACTCCGTTTCCTCATCTGTAAAATGGAAAAAATAATACCTATAGTACCTACCCCCATAGGGTTGCTTTAATTATCCAACAAGATAATGCATTATAATGTATTTTTCAAGAAAAGAAGCTGGGCATAATGGAGTCAGGAAGATCTGAATTCAAATACAGCCTCTTACAAATACTAGTTACACACAGGCAAATAATTGAAAACAGCAGTGCCCTAGACAACAATCTAAAACTATGTTACCAAAGAGTTTGTGATATGCATTAGTGAAGGGAGTCCTCTCGACTAGAGTTCACCATGACCAATGACAACACAGAGCCAAACCAAAAATAAAACAAAAACCTCCAAAAAACTTAGACTTTAGAGGCAGCTAGGTGGCACAGTGGATAGAGACCTGGAGTCAGGAGGACCTGAGTTCAAATGTGACCTCAGACACTTGACACTTAACACTTACTAGCTGTGTGACCCTGGGCAAGTCACTTAACCCTGATTGCCTTGCCAAAAAAACAAACAGACAAACAAAAACCACTTAGACTTTAAAATACTTTAAAGAACTATATGTTAGTTATCGTTATTCATTATCATTATTCCAAATGGTAACCTTCTGATGGTGTTGTCAGTCTCCCATTGGCGAGTGATCAGAGCTACTTAATCTCCTTACATAACATCTGTTACAGTATCACAAACAGGTGACTCGATCAATACTTTTGGATAACAATGATGCAGATCAAGAAGAAATCTTGCAGTGGTAATTTTTTTTTTTAATCACAAATCACCCAGATGAACAAAGTGAACTAAGCAAATCCCTTTTCCAATAAATCTCAGCCATCTGCTGTGTGTATAATGTATTTACTGGGTCATCTGTTTCCCTATAACTTGTCATTATGCCATCTCTTTTCATTTTTTTTTTTTCTATGGCGGGAGACAGGATCCAAGCCTGTGGTTTCATGGGTCTAAGGAATTCCTAGTGAGAAAACTCCAATCCATGCCAATTAGCAACTGTTTTACAATTTATAGTTTTAGAGAATTACCTGGGACCCAAGGTCTCACAGCCAAGATGTGTCAGCATCCAGACTTGAACCCAGGTTTTTTATAACTTCCAGGTTTCCATTCATTAACTCTACATTGTCCCCAGGCTTTGCCCACATTATTTTTTTAAAGAAGAAGAAATAGGAGTATGATAGTATTTGGTAGTATGGTGGCAAGGAAGTACAGGGGTATATGTGATCCCTGGGGAAGGTAGAGACTGGCAAATCTCTTGAGTTTGAGAGTTCTAAGCTACAGTAGGCCTGAAGCCAATCTGGTGTCTTCACTAAGTCCTATACCAATATGGCGAGTCCCTAGGAATGGAAATCCAATGGAAGGACAAACCAGGTGACCTAGAAAAGGAGAAGGTCAAAGATCCCAGGCCAATCAGCAGTAGGATTGACCTGTGAATGGTGGGCCACTTCACTTCTAGCCTGAGTAAAATAGGGAGACCCAGTCTCAGAATAATAAAATAAAGAAGGAAGGAAATAGACACAGGGAAGTTAAATGGCCTTCTCAGGGTCACATAGCAAGCTAGTGACAGAGCTACAGGAGGAACTTATACACTTTCATTCTCCTTTATTTTCTTTATTATCTGGCTGCAGATATGTCTTTCAGATGACAAAGAATTTAGGGGTTTTTTTGGTTTTTTTTGGTTTTTTTAAATTTTAGGCAATTGGGGTTAAGTGACTTGCCCAGGGTCACACAGCTAGTTAGTGTCAAGTGTTTGGTCTGAGGCTAGATTTGAATTCGGGTCCTCCTGACTTCAGGGCCGGTGCTCTATCCACTATGCCACCTAGCTGCCCCTCAGATGACAAAGAATTTAGGAAAGCTGAAAAGGTGAGGTCAGAGGGATGAGTAGGACCACAAGCTAGGACACAGATAGGGTTTTTATTATTTATAGAGTTAATCCAAAAGGGAAGATACAGGGAAAGGTTTCTAAGGGAGAAAAAAAAAACAATGCTATGAATAGTGGCATAGTAATTGGATGGCAAATAGTGTCAGCCAGGAGGAGAGGTCTAAGGAGTAGATAGAGTCAGGTCATGTAATTAGCAAGGCTAGCTAAGAAGTAACAGATGAACGAGAGGATTTGAAGTGCTAGGAGAGGATCACAACAGAGGCAGTATTAGGTCAGAGCTTCTTTACTTAAAGGGCAGAAGGATGGAAGGAGCTGCTGAGCAGAGAAGATGAAGGTTGCCAGGCAGAATTGTAAATCAATCACCTTCAGATGCAGCGCATTAGTTTGAGCCTAGCACAGTATTTATCTCACAGTGGCTACTCAATAAACTTTCCTGGTTGCTTACAAAAAAAAAAGTTTAAGTTTACAAATTATCTTTACCTTCCAGTCGTAAAAATAACCTGCCTTTTTCAGATCGTCCTATCAACTGTCCTACAAAAGCAACAGCAGCTGGAACAAAATTTTTTGTGTGTGTATACCAAAACCCTGATCTAATTGATAGAGGAAATTCCCTCTACCCATACAGATCAGTGACTGATCTGCACCTCAATAGTAGTCTTAGAGAGTTGTCTAGGGCGCTGAAAAAAGTAAATGACTTGCCAGTATGTGTACAGGTTGAGGCTTTAAACCTGTCTTTCTGTCTCCCAGGCCATCTCTATGGGGTTTTTCTTTTAATTGTTATTCATGCTGAATATTTTAGTAAGGCTCATCACTTCCTTCCCTACCCTTGCTGTCCTCTCCAAAGTAGGCCACTAAGTAGCAGTTCCTGCTCTCTAGGAATTTAGGTGGGCCACTACAGCAGTAACACTATCATTCATCAGGCAGATACAAAGGACTAAAGGAACATGTCATCTTTCTGCACTTCCTGCACAAAATTGTGTTCGAATTTTCAATGCAAACAAGAACTAAAAATGTCTCCCCAGCTAAGGGGTGGGGCAGGGGAAGGTCCTTCACAGCTGGTAAAATAGAACTTCTAGGCATCTAGCATTATTTTTCCTGGACAAGTGGGTGAGTGGCTGTTTTCAGTTCTCTATCATTGTCATTTCTGTTGTGACTTTCCCATCAGGCCTGGGAAGGGGCTCTGACTGAGTTGCAACACCAAGACAGAGAGTGGAGCCAGACTCCTTACAGGAGAGGAAGGGGAAATTAAAGGGTACAGAGATAAAGTGTGTGACCCTGATGTCTGTGCAGGACTTGCTAGTTTCAGTTCATATGGGCTGTGAGAAAGCATTTTTGAAGTTTCATTTCAGGAGCTGTGTAGCTATAGTTTCTCTCTTAATGTTTTAGTTCTGTAGCTAAAACCTACAGATTGAACTGAAAATCCCTGAACTGAAGCCACCATCATATCATGATCAAATCCTATTTTTTAAGTGTTCCCCAGCAAAACAACCAGACTTCCCTGGTTCCAGGAAACCTGATTGGTTTTTACCTTCAAGTCTTGCAGGGCCATATACTTTTTTCCTGGAGCCAACCTTCTAAATCTATCTAAAATATGTGTATCCCGCCATGTCCAAACAACTGCCAAGTTTTGTTGATTCTACCTCCTCAGCATCTCTCACAGCTGTCCCCTTCTCTCCATTCCCACAGCCACCACCCTCATCCAGGTCCTCATCGCCTCTCCCCTGTTCTACCTCATCATTGGTTTCCCAGTCTCAAGTCAGTTAACAGTCAGCAAGCATTTCTCAAGGTCCTACTATGTGCCAGGCACTGTGCTAAGCCATGGGGATACAAAGAAAAGTAAAAGACAGTTTCCTACTCTTAAGGAGCTTCTCTCCTCTCTTTGATCTATCCTCCACACAGCTGCCAAACTGATAAAGCACCGGTCTCACCGTATCACTCCTCTCAAGAAACTTCACTAGTTCCCTGGTGCTCCTAGGATAAAAAAGATAAACTCCTCTAAAGTCCTTCAAAGTCTAGCTACAGTCTGTCTTTCCAGGCTGATTACACATTACACAGAATCATAGAATTGCCCACTCTGCATGCCAGCCTAAATGGCCTGTTTGCTGTTCCCATAAATGACATTCCAATGCCTAGCTGTGTGCTTTTGCACACAAAGACTCTCCCTTCACTTGGAATGTTCTCCCTCTGTACTTCCACCTCTTGGTACTCCTACCTCCCTGATTTCTCAAGGGGTTAGTTCTCCTCCCCCACCTACTCTACCACTGTGCGTTTATTTGAGGCAGCTAGGTAGTAAGGTGGGTAGAGCTCTGGACCTAGAATCAAGAAGACAAGTTCAAATTTGGCCTCAGACATTTACCAGCTGTGTGACCTTGGGCAAGGCATTTAACATCTGACTACCTCAGTTTCTTCATCTGTAAAATGGAAATAATAATAGCAACTACTTCTCAGGGTTGTTGTGAGGATCAAATGAGATAATATTTGTAAAGTGCTTAGCACAGCACCTCGCATATAGTCGGTGCTATATAAATGTTAACTATTATTATCATTACCATTATTATTATTATTAATTATAAGGAGCTTAGCACAAGTGTTATATAATACTAGCTATTATTGTTATTTTGCATATATATCTTATAGAATTATAGAATTTTGCATATATACACATGTGTGTATGTATATATATTCTGCATTTAATTATCTGTGAATATCTCCTATCTGCCTAGTAGGGTATAAACTCCTTGAGAGTAGGTGTCTCACTTTGTACTCATATCCTGAGCTAGCATGGAACCTGGCACCCTAAATAAATGTTTATCAATTGACTGATTGATCTGTACACAGGACAATAAGTACCAGAGTGAAAGGGAAGGGCAGAAGAAGACACTGATAATACATGAAACAACAAAATCCACAGAAAAGCCTTGAAGTGCTCCTTAAATGCAGTGTAGTTGAAGGGCCAGGACCATATTCTTGTTCCGAAAGGGTCAAGTGTAGGAAAGGGGAAAGTAGTGGGTAAGGTGAGGAGTTGGGGTAGTTTTTGGGTCCTGGTGCTTTGCTAGCCCTTAATCAGAGAGAAGAAAAGGAGAAAAGGGGTCAAACAATGCCATAGTCTTCTTCTACTAGACCAAAAACATTAGGAAAAATGGGATGCAAAATGATGTAGTGGAAAGAATATTGGAAATCAGGAAACTTGCTACCTGGCATCTATAAAATGAGAATAATAGGATGCCTTTCAAGGGATAAGGAAAGCACTTAGTAAGCCTTAAACCATAAAACATGATGGAAATGTGACCTATTCTTATTATTTCTTCTTATTTCCAGATCCATTTTCATCTAAGTGACCAATGATCCAGTGAACTCTCCCTCTGTTGCATCTTCTCACCAAGAATGGATGCTGGAGCATCCACAGCACAGGAGTTGGGATCTGTTGCCATACAGCCTAAGCCATGAGGGTTTGAGTTGTCCCTGCCTTTACTTTTGTTTTTTCTCTTGACACCATTTTTCACTCTCTTTTCCACCCTCTTGCCCACCTCTCTCTTACCTCACCTCTTGTTCCAATTTCCCGCCTCCTGGCCCTGCCCAATCCTGCATAGTTGGTCACTTCACTACCCAGAGCTACTTTGCAAGGAATAGAGTCCTGGACTTCGAGGCGAGAAAATCCCACCTCAGACACTCAGCTCTAGGACCATAGGCAAGTTACTTATCCTATTTCCACCTCAGTTTCCTCATAAGAAAAATGGGATGATAATAGTACCTACCTCATAAGGTTGTTACAAAGATCAAATGTGATAACATACATAATGCACTTTGCAAACTTCAAAGTGCTATATAAATATTAGTTATTATTGTCGTTGTCATTATTATTGTCTTTAGATACTGCTCAAAGCCAGTTAGATAAAGCCAGCCCTAGCCCTTCAGTTCAGCCAATTACTTACCGGAAAGTCAGTTAGCAAGCAGAGCCAAGAGGATAATATGACCAGTAACTACAAAAATGTAAATGAAACCAAGCTTTAAAAGGCAACAGAACTCATTTTAAATGCAATGACCAATCTTAGTTCTGGAAAACAAGTGATGGTACTCCCAGGCATACACCCTTGCCCCTCCCTAGCTTTCAGGAATGGATGCTCCAAAATGCTGCTGCCCAAGTTGTCAGATGCGATCCCAGCATCCCTTGGGGTAGGGAGGATGGGGAAAGATCAGGAAATTACTGTGGTATCAAAAACAAAAAGCACTAACAAAACTTCTTTTAAGGCATTCAACTTTTAGATCTTACAGTTCATTTGAATTGGTTCCAATCAGATCAACTGAAGCAAATGTTGTTAAAGATATCAAAAGTTCTTCAAAACTGTCTCTGATCCTTCAAAATTGGCTTCTTGTTTCATGTCTGTGTGGTTTGGCGGAAACATTCACAACTGGGACTCTGAAAAACATTCAGGACTAAAGGCAAATAGCATGTGACAGAGGAAAAAATATTGTACTAGGAATCAGGAGACCAAGTCTCAGCTCTGCAACTAACTAGTGACTTAGGAAAGTCCCTTTGCTTTTCCAGGCCTTAGTTCCTCATCTATAAAAGGAGATAATTGTTCTAATCTAGATGACCTCCAAAGTCCCTTCTAGCACATGACCTTGTAACTACATGACCTCTTGGCTTCCTTCTGGCTCTATGATTTTCTTTCAGCACTCAGAGGCTGGCACTGTCGAAGAGCTCTCAGGAATCTTGTGGAACAAGGTCTCTAGTACTGATCTTCAGTCAATCGGGCATCTTTATTCACAGACCACAGACTGTGGGTCAAAGATAACATTGATTTGCAAACAAGTTGATAATTTTATATTGAGTAAAGGCCAGGTGGATTATAAATTAGTATCTATCTCCCCTTACAATTCTTCAAGTGGGAAAAGAAAAAACCCCAGGCATGTCGTAGGCCCTTAGTAAATGTTTATTATAATTATTGAATTAATAAGATACCATTGATCTCTATTAACTCCTAAATATCCTTCTCTGATTCTGGCCCAGGGGTCTGGAACAAAGAAAGGGGACAACACCTAACAATAGGTAGGCAATGTGCTATTCAATCAATTCAAATTTAGAATCATTTAGAAAGGCTTATTTTATAAGCCCCAGGGGAATAGGCAACCTAAGTGGCACAATGGATAGAGAGACAGGCCTACAGTCAGAAGACTACAATTCAAATCCAGCCTCAGATACTTACTAGCTATATGACCCTGGGTAAGTCACTTAACCCTGTTTGCCTCAGTTTCCTCATCTGTTAAATGTGCTACGGAAGGAAATGGCAAACCCTTTCAGTATCTTTGCCAAGAAAACCCCAAATGGGATCATGAAGAGTCGGACAGGACTAAAACAACAACATGGGAAATTCTGCACATATCACCACACCAGCCATGTAGCAGAGTGCACAGGTGTCAAATGGGATGCGATTGAACAGGAAGCCCAGAAAAATTTATAAAATTGTCATTAAGTATCTCGAAAGTATGGGATTATTAAAATTTTTAGCAATAGGGTTTTTTCCCCTCCTTACTATTTTCAATAAAGGGAAAACTGTGTTCTTTTATGGCCATTGCTAGTTTCCCCATCCCTCTACATCTCTCCCATCCAGAATTCCAGTTGTGACTCAGACCCAGTTAACTTATCTGTGAACGTATTCTATCAGCCATTCTTCCCCCCAATTAAAATGTAAGCTCCTTGAGAGCTAAGACTATCTCATTTTAGGGGGCAGCTAGGTGGCACAGTGGATAGAGCAACAGGCCTGAAGTCAGGAGGACCTGAGTTCAAATGCAGCCTACCAAACACTTGACACTTACTAGCTGTGTGACCCTGGGCAAGTCACTTAACCCCAATTGCCTAAAAAGGAAAAAAAAAAAGACTATCTCATCTTCATATTTGTGTCCCCTGAATCTAGCAGAGTGCCAAACACATATCTATGTTTGTTGATAGATTAATTGATCCTGAGCATCCCAAGGATGATTATACTCTATATCTTCATCATCATCACCACCACCACCACAGTTTACATGGATATAACACTTTATACATGTTCTTATTTGACATCTCAACTTGTCCAAAACTAAGTTCATTATCTGCCCCACAACCTACTCTTTCTTTTGATTTCATTATGTATTTGTCCATGACACCTTTATTCACTCAATCTCCCTCATTCTTAACAACGGGGAACTCCTTTGACTCTTCCCTCTCTCTTACTCCTCTTCTTGAATTAATTACCAGATCTCATTGGTTTCATCTATCCTCTCCTCTCTATTCCCATTGCTACTGCCCTAGCACAGTCTCTCAACATTATCTACCTAAACTATGTCAATTGCCTCCTAACAAGTCTTCCTGCCTCCACTTTATGGACGCTACAAATTGGGTGCCTTTGCAAAGGAGGTAATGCCTATGTCTGGAATGTACTCACTCCTTGCCTCTGCCTTGTTCAAAGTGTAATGCAAGTACTATCTCTTCCTGTGCTACACACAGTAGGTGCTTAATAATTTTGTGTATGTGTGTGTGAGGCAATCAGGGTTAAGTCACTTGCCCAGGGTCACACACCTAGTAAGTGTCAAGTGTCTGAGGCTAGATTTGAACTCAGGTCCTCCTGACTCCAGGACCAGTGCTCTATGCACTGTGCCACCTAGCTGTCCTTAATAAATATTTTTTAATTGTTGCAATATTGTCCTGGTGATTCTTACAGATGAAATAACAGAGCCTTAAAGAATGAGTCATTTGTCCAAGATGCCTTAGCAAATGGTAGGATTTGGACTCCAACCCAAATCCTCCTTGCCCAAGACACTTCAATGTTCTGTCCACTACTCCACACTGCCCATCACAGTTCTTCTAGGGGACAGATTGAGAATAGAATATCACCATCACATGACTTGTGGTAATTGTGAAGAAGCCAATAGAGTAATATGGAATCCAAATGGTGATTAGCATGACATAGGACATGGAAATAACATTTATTTCACAGTACAGTAAGACTTTCAAGAATATATGAAAGAAAAACACTGCTTCTGGACCAAAAAAATGCATCACAGCTAACAATGACTATATCAACTCAACAGGTGTCCATGCTTTTCAATTGCTGGACATGGTTAACAGGATCTCACACTCTCCCTGGTTTAAATGTGATTATGTTGGGTTACATGTGCTTGTTTGAATGAACATCTATGTTCAGGTTAGACAATGTTTCTTTGGAGGAATTATAGGTTGGGGGAAGTGGGGGGGGGAGGTAGTCAAAAGAGCTCCCATGACCAATCTCCCAGTCAGGAGATGCTGTATAAGGAAAGAATGGGAGAGCGATTAAGGAAGAAGGAAGAGACCAAAAGGTATGGAACAGGTTTTAGGGTTTATAGGGATGGAGTAAAGAAATAAAATTGAGAAACCAGCTGGTATTATGAAATTTAGGAACCCGAGGCAATTCTATAAAACCATAAGTTGCAAGATGGTTGCCCATCTCCACTGGTGGTGGGAATGTCCTCGCTGGGAGGTCCCTATATTAATAATATTACATGTCTGGACCAAAAAAAAAAAAACCTCACCAACAATAGCATTGATTATATGGGAGGAAGAAGAATGGAGACTTGGGAATGATTGAAAGGAGGCTCTCACAATTTTGTGAGATGTTGAAAGGGGAAAAAAATATTGGAGGCCCAAGACCTAGTTGATTTCCTCAGAAACTAGATTCCCACCACTTTCCACACTCTCTTCGTAAGCCTCCATGTTTGTGTCCTTCCTCAACATCTCCCCATCTCCCCATCCCTCCAACCACAAACCTCCACATAGGCAAGAGCTACTCCTGAGAGGCAGTAAGGAGTTATGATTAAGTCAAAGTGATTAAGTCATTAATTGAGTCTATTGTGGCTTTGCTGCAATAAGCAGCTGTGAGGAACCATTCTATTGTACTAAGACATGGTAGCTTCGGGGCAGCTAGGTAGTGCAGTGGATAGAGCACTGGCCCTGGGACTCCAGGAGGACCTGAGTTCAAATGCGGCCTCAGACACATATAACTTACCAGCTGTGTGACTCTGAGCAAGTCACTTAACCCTGATTGCCTAGCCAAAAAAAAAAAATGGTAGCTTCACAACCAGGCAAGATTTGCTGACTCAATCCGGTGACCATTACTCATTACCATTACAGTAATACAGAGCTCTTAATCTTTCTAGGTCTTCAAACTCCAGGTGTTCCAGGAATTAGAACTTAACATTTTCACACTAAGTGAAGAGACAATTTTTCATTGCCAAAGCCTTACCTCGATAAGAATACTAACAATGATGACAGCCCAAATGACACATTCACAGAACAAGATTCCTTTGGATTCTGGATAGAGATAAGGGAAAGAATCAACTCTAGAGACTTTAAAGAAAGAGTAGCCAGTTCTTTTTTCTCAAGGTAGTAGATGAGGAATGGGATGACAAGTTAGACATTATGTTATCTGTCTCTGTCTCTGTCTCTCTGTGTCTCTACCTCTATTTCTCTGTATCTGTCTCTGCCTATCTATGTATCTGTCTCGGTCTCTCTGTGTCTATCATTCTCTGTGTCTCTAGCTTTATCTGTTTGTCTGTCTGTCTGTCTCTCTTTCAACTTCTCTGTTCAAAAGATAGGACCAGAGGCCTGGTCCTGGGGTAGTAAAGCCACCAATAATGGCTGCTTTGGAGTCGGAACCCATATTCTCACCCACAGCTTTGATAAGAGTTCATGAGGGTGGACTTTCCCCAGCCCTAGGGTTAACAGCAGCTAAGGCAATGAAGATTTCCCGAAGAAACACAGGCCCTAAGCAGATTTATACCTGCCCACTCATCCTGAGATGGGAGGCTCAGTCTTGCCTGTTCCTTCATGGATAATGCCTAGATCAAATTCCCAAGTTCAAGAATTTGGGAAGCAGATGTTCTAGAGATAGACGGTCATTTCCTGATAAAGTTTGATTCCCTGTGGAAGGAAGAGTATCACCTATGTAATCCCTGAGAAGTATTTTACTTAGAGAGCAAAGTCACAGAATTATTTGGAAAATGAAGGACCAATGACAAAGAGATTGCTTGTACAGTGGTCTCCAAAGAAGGTTTAGCCTCTGGGAGAGTCTAAAGCACAAGATAGCACCATGATTCTTTCATGGACTGTGAATGACCCTGGGAAGAGATCTTGGAATGTCAGGGTGTTGCCTTGATAGCAGTTTAGGGAAAGGGGGGAGAAATATTTGAGCACTTTTCCTGTTTCTGTATCTATTTATAGGCTTCTGTAACTTCTGAGGTCT